GCGTGCGTTGAATGTAATAAAAATGTCTCTCCATATGTCATACTACAATGATAATAAAATAACCCCTGGTTTCTGTTCATTACTATAGCTAGACTAATGAAATGCCCTATCTCTGTTGAGCCATGCATCTCTACACCTATAAGGAGTTATGCCTTCATGAGATTCTTTATAAATAAAATGATTTCAGTTAGGGAGGAAATTCAAACCATCCTTCCTTCTACTACCCATGGTCTCCTGTCAGATAATACAACTTTAGAGAGATTACTAGAACCTGGTTTGTGTTTGGACTGTTGTTGTCCTGCTGAGCTCTCTGAATTGTCAAAAATAATAGCTTCATCCAAACCATCTACTTGTCTGCTAGATCCCATCCCAACCAGACTGTTAAAAGAGGTATTTCCCCTAATTAATGTCCACATTTTGGATCTGCTTAATTTGTCTTTAATGAATGGTTACGTACCACAGCGCTTTAAGGTTGCTGTAATTAAACCTTTACTTAAGAAGCCCGATCTCATCCATCCATTCATTATCTTTTTACCCGCTTCTTCCATTTTGGGTCACGGGGGTCACCGGTGCCCATGTCTGGCAATCTGTGTGAGGGGCGGGGTACACCCTGGACAGGTCGCAAGTCCATCACAGGGCCACACAGAGACAAACGAGACAAACAACCATTCACTCTCTCACTCACACCTAGGGACAATTTAGAGTTACCTATCAGTTTAACATGCATGATAACAGTCTATCTGTTTTAAATTGTGCTCTATAAATAAATATGACTTGACTTGACTTGTTTTTGGTCTGTGGGAGGAAACCGGAGTACACGGAGAAAACCCACACATGCACGGAGAGAACATGCAAACTCCACCCAGAAGGGCCCCTGGACTGGGGGGACCTGCTTGCTGAGAGGCAGCAGCTCTACCAGTTGCACCATTGTGCCGCCCAAGCCCAATTTTAATTCAGATATTCTGGCCAACTATAGACTTATATGTAATCTAACATTCATTTAAAAATTTTTGGGAAAATAGTTGCTGGTCAGTTGCATGAACAGCTGAACAGAAAAAATCTATTGTATGAGTTTCAGTCAGGGTTTAAGCTCATCATAGCACAGAAACAGCTCTAGTGAAAGTCGATGATATTCTCATGGCCTCCGACAATGGACTTGTGTCTATACTGATCCTGTTCGACCTCAGTGCTGCATTTAATATAGTTCATCACAATATTTTACTACAAACTTAAATATGATATTGGGATTACAGGAATGGTTCTAAAATGGTTTAAATCATATTTATTTTATCCATTCCTGTTTGTAAAT